TCTTCCTGTGTATCACCAGAGGAGTGGATAAACAAAATTTGGTCTATCCACACAGTGGAATATTATTCAGCCACAAAAAGGAACAAGATACTGATAGATGCTACAACGTGGATGAACCTTGAAAACACTATGCTAAGTGAAAGAAGCCAGATATGAAAGGCCACATATTAAATGATTCCATTTCTATGAAATATCCAGAAGAGGTAAATCCATAGAGACAGATAATAGGTTATTGGTTGCCTAGGGCTGAAAGGAGGGGTGACTGCTTAATAGATACAGGATATCCTTTGGGGTGATAAAAATTCTGGAACTAGTGGTGATGGTTACACAGTATTGTGAATGTACTGAATGCCACTGAGTTGCACACTTTAAAATGGTTACACTGGTAAATTGTATGTTATGTGTATTTTTTTTTTTAAACTCATCATTTCTCTATCTATTTATTTTATTTTTTTAAATATATTTTATTGATTTTTTTACAGAGAGAAAGGGAGAGAGACAGATAGTTAGAAACATCGATGGGAGAGAAACATCGACCAGCCGCCTCCTGCACATCTCCCACCGGGGATGTGCCCGCAACCCAGGTACATGCCCTTGACCGGAATCGAACCCGGGACCCTTCAGTCCGCAGGCCGACGCTCTATCCACTGAGCCAAACCGGTCTCGGCTGTTATGTGTATTTTAATCTCTCTCTCTCTCTCTCTCTCTCTCTCTCACACACACACACCTTCTCAGAACCCTGTTAAAAAACATTGTTTCAGCTTTAGAAAGGTCAACTGTGTGACCTTGAGCAAGCTACTCACCTCTCTACTTCATCTGTAAAATGGGGGTAATAACAGTTGCTGGGAGGATTAAATGAGATAATGCATATAAAGTGTTGAGCGTACTGTCTCAATAAATGTTAGCAGTTATTGGTATTAGTCCTCAACTGGCCCTTTATGCCTCAGTGTGAATTCCTTCCTGAGAGCAGATTTGATCAGACAAAGAAAGAAACTTCTGTAGTTAGAGCCACCATGAGAAAGCAGAAGGATGCTCAATGGGTAAACCTGGCCACCTGTGAGGTTTTACCTAAGGCAGATCCGTGTTAACACTGCTCACTCCATAGAGAAACTGCTTGAACACAATGAAATAGTATGGGATGGGGAAGAGAGGAGAAAACTTGGTTTGGGTTTGGGTTTCAAGGGTTTGTTAAAAGCCCATGAGGAGGAAAGAACAGCATTTTAGTTCTTGGCAGAAAGTGAAAGTTTCAATTCCAGAACCCCTGTCTTGGGCTAGAATGCTTTAAAGCTCTTTACTTCAAAACAGGTGCCAGGCCAGATCTCAGAGGAAGGCAAGCGGGTAGGATACGAGCAGGAGAGAGGAGGGAGGGTGGGCTTCCCACGACCTCTGAGTGTGATGTCACCACTGAGGCAGCCCAATGGAAGACATTGTTATTCTGGCAGAGGTCCCATCCAAGTTTATTCTCCCAGATACACCCCTCCCCAACTTTCCCTCTCCATCGAATGTGAAAGAAGATGAACTAAATGACTTAATGGTCAATACATATTCATCCTTTATTATTATGAAAGTATTGAAACATAAAGTTGGCTACAGAAAAAATATTTTTAATGCATTTGTTAGAACTTAGTTTTTAAAAAAATATATATATATTTTTTTTATTGATTTTCTACAGAGAGGAAGGGAGAGGGATAGAGAGTTAGAAACATCGATGAGAGAGAAACATCGATCAGCTGCCTCCTGCACACCCCCTATTGGGAATGTGCCCGCAACCAAGGTACATGCCCTTGACCGGAATCGAACCTGGGTCCCTTAAGTCCACAGGCTGACACTCTATCCACTGAGCCAACCCAGTTAGGGCAAGAAGAACTTAGTTTTATTAACCATATATAGTGCATTTCTCAGATCAATTTTTCCTGCCATAGCTACCAACCCCTTCCTTCCTCTCCAATCCATTGTCCATGGCAGCCTAAAAATTGTCTTGAGTTTCATAACAGCTGATTGGTGGCACCTATACCCACAACCAGAGGGTAAATGCAAGGAATTTCCCCCTCTTCACCAGGATAAGGGAAAGATTATCTTATCCTAAAAGAAGGGTGAATGGCACTTCCACCAGCTGGCTCTTTACAGATTAGGAACGACCCCTGATGTGCAATTAAAGCAGCCAAAGTAGGACACCTGTATCACAGGTGATAGTGTAGAGAACCATAGACATGTTCAAAGGAAGAGCACCATCCCTGGGCACGAATCTTAACATTTAATGAAGAACAGCATTGGTAGCAGAGTAGCCAATTTTCATTTCTAGCCTGCAAGTGTTATATATGTGCATAGGCAGATTCCTCTCCAATCCATTGTCCATGGCAGCCTAAAAATTGTCTTGAGTTTCATAACAGCTGATTGGTGGCACCTATACCCACAACCAGAGGGTAAATGCAAGGAATTTCCCCCTCTGCATAGGCAGAGAGCAAGGGAGCTTGGTTCTGTCCCAGACCTAAGGAATCCTGTGTCCCAGAGATTCCCAAAATTAGATAGAATACTTTTCTTTGAATTATCATACCTATCCCATATAAAATTATTCTCCCTTTCTTCTTCCCCATTGTATGGTAATTGGGAACATGGTCCCCTTCCCATGCTCCAGCTCCCCTTCCTCCCCCCTGCCCTGTGGGAAATAGAGTGAAGGCCTTCTGTGAGACCTTGGGAACCTGGCCAGCAACTTGGTCTAAGAAAAGCCAAAGAGAAACTGCTTCTAGACGTGAGCCAGGACTGTAAACAGCGAGTGTTTTGAGCTCATACAAGCATGTCCCCTCCCCCAAATGCCGTTTTTCTTCTGTACTTTATGAAACCTTGTGTTGGGAAAGTCTAGGTGAGGACTAAACAATAGCACTGGCCGGCTGCCCCTGGGGTGGCCCATCCACAGGCCAGACTTAGTGGGCAACCTCACCAGTGGCAGCTGGTGCGGCAGTAAACTTCACTGGTCTGTACGCAAGTAAGTCCTAATAAACCCGTGTCATTCATAGCCAGTCCTTCTGGGTTATTTCTTTAGAATCCACAAACAATACACTGAGTTTTTCTGGGATTGGGACCTTGGCACTTTGCATAATACCCATTCTCCCCTCATTTTTTCTGGATATTTGAAATACATATTTGCAATAATGAGACACACATCTGGACATTATAATGAATGCAATTCAAGTGAATACTTCAAGAGAAGTTCTGTGGCCGAATGGAAAGGTGTCCATGACTCAAGTTGAACAACAGATGTATGTTTTAGGCTTTTGTACTTTCAGAGAAACTGATAGTTGAGGTATTTAGCAATTCAGATTTTATAACAAAATCTATCTTAACACCAAATAGTTGGTCTAAGGCCATGGTCGGCAAACTGTGGCTCGCGAGCCACATGCGGCTCTTTGGCCCCTTGAGTGCGGCTCTTCCTAAGCCTTAGGCGTGCCCTCATTAATTTAATAACAATGTACCTACCTATATAGTTTAAGTTTAAAAAAAATTTGGCTCTCAAAAGAAATTTCAATCGTTGTACCGTTGATATTTGGCTCTGTTGACTAATGAGTTTGCCGACCACTGGTCTAAGGGATATGCTTGGTGCTGTGTTCCAGGGTTTGTTAATGAGAAATTGAGCATCAGATGCCACAGACCAGGGAACAGGATTGAGAGTCAACTATACCAGCTAGTGGCACTCCAAAGAACAAAGAAACACTTAGAAAATATTTAAGGCTAAATAACCACCCCACCCCTACCACCCCCGAGGGAGAGGAAAGGGGCAGGAAAATGACTAGACTTCAACAACCGATTTTAAATCACAGAAACCAGCACAACACTTAAGTTTACCATATATTTGTTTCAATATTTATTATATTGACAGGAATACTAGGATAAATAATATATTTTTTCTTACAGAAAATTGTAATGATACTATTGAGTAGGATTAAACACTCTGAGAATTTCACAGAAACATCAGAATTTAAACAGACCAGAGTTCTCGTGGCCAGTGTGAATGACCTCTCACAGCTGTACATGCTCTGGGCCAGATTTCTATAAACATCTGCATGACAAAAACAATGCCATTCACATCCAATAATGCGAACGCCTAGGCATCACCTAGCTTCAAACGCACCTCTACTGAATGTGGTTTTCAACTGCAAGTAAAGGAAAATGGAATATTCTTTGGCTCTTACTGGCCTAGGAATAACTCCTGACCTAAACCACTGAGCAGAGTCCTAACCTTTGGAAGGCGGACTTTCTGCTTTCTTCCTGGGACAGAGGGCCTGCAGTCTTGCCCAGGAATTTTGCACTAATGCCTGAGTGCAAAGGGAAAGGAGGCCTGCTCTCTTGGCACAAAATGGCACTGCTGGCTGGCAAAATTCTGTTCTCCTGGGCTGACAAGCTCTGCCAGCCACCTGAACATTTTGTAAGACACCCCACATGATAGTAGTCCCTCAAACTCTCAGACGCTAGATCTGAGAAAAGTCTCGAACAAGTCACACCAGTGTTGTCAGAGCACACATCAGGAGAGCACAATGCTTAGTTATGAAACAAACGCCTTGCACACAGTAATTCCTGTACATAACAGCATATTGGCTAGAAGCACAAGCCTGGCCATTGCACAACTTTGCTAAAAGCCATTCTCACTCCATGTCCCCTACTAGTGACTGTGGGAGTGGCAAGGGAGGAGGAGGTGGCCCCACCCACCCACC